TTGTCAGTTTGAAACCAAGGCCAAAACAGGTTTCTTGCTAAAAGAAGGCGAAGGAATTAGCTATCAAAAGTGGGGATGAGGAACTTGATCAGATACCAAGAGTCGATCAGGTGTCAAGTGTGGAAGCATTCTTGATAAACTGACTTAGCAGGATTCTTGTGAAGACTGGGCCTGGCAAGGGCAAGACAGAAGGCCAAAGTTGAGGCCTAGTCAAAAACAGGGCTCAGAGAAGCGTAACTGAAGTTCGGTCAAGGAGAGAGTCTTTGTCACAGCTCCAGTTGGGTGTTGTTTTCTTTTTTCACTCTTTCTCAGTCTTATTTTATGATTAAAGGCTGACAACGTAAAGTACCTTTCATCAGGTCTTTAATGCAATGTAGGTTTTTCTTTAACTACTTTTACTTCAAAATATGATGTACACCTATTCACTGAAAAAAAAATGTAGAAATAAATTGTACAACATATTCTCTTTATTTCTGCATTTCTTTAAATGAGATGAAGTGTGTGGTCTTCATTAATTATTTAAATTAGAACTTTGACTCACAGACACAGTACTAACAGACCAATTTCAGTAAAATAAGATGGAATTGTGAACATGGCAGCTTCTACAAAACCTGAACCAGTATAATCAAAATGCTGACCATTGACAGAACCTGCCATTCCTATATAATATGCACTTAAGATATTTTAAAAGCAAATTTCTGCTCAGATACCTTAAAATATGACAATGCAGTGACTGTTTTATTTAGAATAGAATCAGAACAGGGGAAATGCATGTATAGTTAATTTTAAAATGCAAACCTGTGCAGTCCCCAACCTAAGAACCTGAGAGAATCCTGAAGTTCCTTTGTTACGTAGATGTTTTGGTTCTCCAAACACATTCTCTCCTAGGAAGCAATGTCACAATGATGGTTAAGTTAACAGGTTCGTCCCGAGAGACTTGTTTAGGCCATTGAACTTTATATAATTGAACTTTATGTTAATAGTAACCATAAGCCTTTCTGAACCTGTGATTGGAAGGAATAGGGAGTGGGGGCTTGAGCTTTGGCATGAGCAGTTTCTGGTTGTACTGAGGAGGGTTTGATGTTAGTGGAGGAGACTGGCAGAAACAGCTTGCTTGTGAAGAGGTGGGGAATGCATCTGAGACTAGGGGTACAGTGATTATATAGTTTGTAAGTCTGCAGTGGCTGGTAAATGAATGCACCTTAAAAATACTCCAACTTGATATGTACTTTTTGAAAGGCTTATCACAGTAAATATAGCTCTTTAGGCAAACATGCAGTTTATTAAAGTGGTTCAGTTACCATGGCAACATATCTGGAATTTATAGCTCCTTATTTTGAGAGGGCTTCATTTCCACTTTCTGAGGCACTGAAGTCCAAGGCTAAAGTTCTTAACAGCCTCCAGTCTCATTGTGTGAATTTTTATTGTTTAGAAAACTTAGACATACAAAATTTAGCTTGCAGAATCAATCTTGTGACTTCATAGTCATATGCATGAATTTTAAATAGGTATTTTTCAATTTCAAAATGCCCCCGTTTTAAAATTTTTTTAGTTATTATCAAAGCTACATATGATCATAATTTAACGAGAAGAAATAGACATTTCAAAAAATAATGGTCACCTAAACTTATTCCCCAGAGGCAACCACTTTCTTTTCTTTTAGCTGATTTTTTGGGGATTTACTTCAAATCCCTCAGCAATGTGTTTATCTTGCTTCTTGGTGTGTATTTACTGCTTGCTTTGTAATTTGAGCTGTCATCTATTGGCTTCCCAATATGGAAGATACAATTTTAGCTCTTTCACCCCTCAGCCCCACCCTCACACCCAGACCTTTCCCCTATTCCCATTCTTCTAACAAAGTGATAGGTAGGGAGGTGGGTAGATTGATAAATTGACAGATCAGTCTATCAATAGAAAGAGTTGAAGAGATACAGTTTTACTAATTTTATAGAAATGTATACTAATTTTGGCTTGATCACTATTCACCATGTATATTATTAGAACCATGTTTATAATATTTACAGATGAACCATGTAATATACTATCGATATACTATGGATATTTTCTTTTTTCTTTTACAACTCATTTTCACTAATTCATCCTCAAACTTTACCTTAGTCGTTCAGTCTTCTCTCAGTACCTATAAACATTAGAATTGCATTAATTTTATCTTCTTAAACAAATCTTCCCTGCAGCATTTGATCAGCTGCAGTCTGGACCATTGCTCTTTGGATCTGTTGCAGAGCTCTCATCCAGGGGTTTTTCTTTATTTCTCCTGTGTGCTGAATTACCTCTTTTTTTACATATATATTACTTTCTTTATTTGTTTACTCCATTGTTTGGCTGGACCACATTCTCTAGTAGCCTCCCAAGAAAGCGTATATTGGAGGTAAATTGTTTGAAACCCCTGCATATTTGAAAATGGCTTTGTTCTACTTTTATATCTGATTTTTCATTTGGCTGAACATAAATTGTTAGTTAGAAATCACTTTCTCTCAAAATTTTCAGTACTGATGTTGAGATATCCAATGCAATTCAAATTTTTTATTTTGTTTTGTTCGTGAAATCTATTCTTCCCCTCTCTGGAAGCTTAGAGAATCGTTTGTTTGTTCCCAGTGTTCTAAAATTTCATGATGATGGGCCTCGCTCTGGATCCATTTTCATCCATTGTGAAGGATCTTCAGTGGGCATTTTACAGTTTCCATTTTGGAAACTTACAGCTTTAAGTTCTATAAAATATTCTTAATTTTTTTATTATTTCCTTTTTTTCTGTATTGTTTTCTAGAACTTTTATTTTTCATATATTGCCCTCATGGCCTGGTTCTATAATTTTCTTATATTTTATATTTTCTGTATTTTTTTCCATCTACTTCCTGGAAGATTTTCTTAGCTTAGTAACCAGTGCATTTTTAATTTCTGCTACTATATTTTTACTCTTCAAGAGTACTCCCCCACCCCTACCCCCCCAACTCTTCCCTTTTTTGTAGCATCCTGTTCTTGTTTTATAAATGTAATCTCTTCTAGTTTTTTTCCTCTCTCTGCATAGTTTATCTGTTCATATAGGTTGCTTTCCATAAATGTCTGGTGATCCTTGGTTGTTTGCTTATATTTACAAGTAAGACATTAAATACTGACTAGAAGCTCTTCGTGGATATGTCTTGTAAACTATGGCCTTCAATAAAAAGTGATCTGATTGGGATGTCTTGTTGAGGAACCCCAATATCAATATCTTTAGTCTTTTGTCTTTGGTCAGATATTCTAGAAAAGGATCATTTTATATGAGTCTGCTCCCCTGCCTAGAGGACATAAGCCTGTTTGTCTGTTTTGGAACCCTTGGGGATAAGAAGGGGGAGGGGGAGGGATAGATCTCAGCCTTTATTATGTAACTTTCATTTAATTCCCATGATTTTTGCAGGATGACCTACCATCAATGTAGGATTCCTCCATCTAGATACCCTCTATTTTGCCCTTTCCAGAAAATAAATCTATAGTTTTCTGCCAGGATGGATTGGGAAGTCATCTATTATGTGGACTACGTAGAGAAAGGATATGGATCAGTGTTGCACATATTCAGCTACTTAAACAATCTTTCAAACAATCCTCCTGTTTTAGCCACACCCCGATCCTCACTTCCAGAGGTGACATTTCCTGATCACTTTCAGATCACTCCATTTTAAATCAGGTACTTCTCAACACTCCGTACTGGCAGCTTAAGAACTGTCAGGTTGGCTAATCAGTTACCAGGCATCTGTCTACTTTTTAGCTTCCAAAGTTTTGTTGCTATTGATCTGTCTCCAATTTTCTTTTTCTCTATACATTTTTCTATCATTTAAATATAGCACTGAGAAGGAGTGGAGGTTAAATATATTCAGCCTGCTATCTTTTCCCAAAATGTCTAACTAGTTTTTCACAGTTAAGAGACACTATATTCATGTTTTAAATTTAATTCATGCTATCCACTTTAAATTTAACTCCTATTTAATTCATCTCATATTGATTTCTTACTCTTAATTGGTAATCTGGCCTCAAGTTAACTAAGAAAACCCTATTCAGTATGAACTTGTTTGATTTTCTCCCTTCTACCTCACAATTTTTTTGTATTCCTCCCTGTTCTCTCTTGTGCTCTTAATAGCATTACTCCAGCCTCTTCTGAGACCTTCTCCATCCTAGAGGCAAGCTAAATCCCCTCATTTTCCATTTCTCTTAGCCTTTCTGCACCTTCAACAACCTATTTGTAAACCTACCTAAGTTTCTTAGTTTAAAAAAATGAATAGCCCAACTTTTCATAATCTTTAAACTTCAGCCCAGCTTTCTTACTTTTTCAGTCTTTCCCACACACAAAAAAATGTCATTTGACTTTTTATCTTCCATTTTCTCCTTCACTCTATTCCACTTAGTCTTCTATATGAGCCCTTTTTTAAAAAAATATTTATTTATTTATCTTGACTGTACTAGGTTTTCATTGCGACATGTGGGATCTTCCTTGCAGCATGCGGGATCTTTAGTTGCATGCAGGCTCTTAGTTGCGGCATGCAGACTTCTTAGTTGCAGTATGCATGTGGGATCTAGTTCCCTGACTAGGGATTGAACCCAGGCCCCCTGCATTGGGAGGGCAGAGCCCTACCCACTGGACCACCAGGAAAGTCCCTATATGAGCTTTTTTTGAAAATTACTTTCTAAACAAAACCACCAACCCCTTCCTGGCCACAGCCAACTTGACTACCTACTTTCCTTTGAGACTCTTTCCCTGTCTTGTTTTTTAAAATCTAATTCTTATCTTGCTCTTGTTTTACGTCTCAGTTTTTTTCCCTCTCTTGTCCCTCTTCCGTGTGCTCCTTCACTTGTGGGCTTCTACTTTAAGCTACCTAGAGAACAAAACAATTAAAAGTTCATGGAAACTTACTGATTTTCCAAGTTTTTCTTGCTTTATTAAAGAAAATGACATGATTTTTTAATAAACATTTTTATGACATTAATAAGGTTTAACTTTTAATATTTAGGCAGGTGCTGTAAAGGATTATATTAAGATGATGCTTCGGAATGATTCGCTTAAATTTCTGGTTTTTGCACATCATTTAAGCATGCTCCAAGCTTGCACAGAAGCCGTCATAGAAAACAAGGTATGTTACCATAACTCTATAAAGTACTTCTTAGAATGCAGGGGGGTTTTTTGGTTTTTGTTTTGTTTTTTCGGTACATGGGCCTCTCACTGTTGTGGCCTCTCCCGTTGCGGAGCACAGGCTCCAGACGCGCAGGCTCAGCAGCCATGGCTCACGGGCCCAGCCACTTCGCAGCATGTGAGATCTTCCCAGACCGGGGCATGAACCCGCGTCCCCTGCATCGGCAGGCAGACTCTCAACTACTGCGCCACCAGGGAAACCCTAGAATGCAGTTTTTAATATACTAAACATCAATTGTAGTTTTATAACTGAGCTTTTTTGCCTTCTTTAGATTATGGGATGGTATTATATCTATAAATTATTATTATGTATTTTTATTGCAGTTATACTAATATTATATTTCTGTTGTATTGATAATATACTATTAAGTTTTCCCTTTTATACCAGTCATAATTTTCCACTGATCAAATTATCTGGATTGATTAAAATATGCTGCCTTGATAGGCTATAATGTGAATTCTGGGTTTGTTACTGGACCATTTGAGATTGGTATAGGCAGTTAAAATCTTTTGTTTACCAACATGGTGACCTTAGAATGTGGGTGATTTTGAGGGGAAAAAGGAATGATTTCAGCCAATTTTAGTGCCCAGCCGCAGTCATACCTTTTAAACTTCCAGGCAGCTTAGTCTATAGAATATGATTATTAAGATTTAGTGTAGGTGGGTTTGAAACATATGCCCAGGTAAGCGCCACCAAACCTGCTGGCCTCACTGCATTCTATTCCGTCCACCTTGTTTTCCAACAGCCCTATCGGCCACAGCATCTGCCATTTTTTCTTTCAGAGTGTAAACCTGGTTACATCCAGTGTAAACGTGTCATATGTGCTAAGGGCTTCCAGAGGTGCTCTGAATCGGCCAGAGAAAGTTCCTGACAAATTATATGAGCTTAATATACATGTAGCAGCAGAACCACTTGCCTGTGCAGGTGGATATTTTAAAGGGAGGAATAAAGCCATATTTTTTTAAAACTTTGTATACATATTCAAGCATTTGCTAATATGTTCATTAACATTACCAAAGATGTAATTCTAGTGTTTTCTTCATAGAAAGATTTATGATAATATGATATAGTAAAGTGCTGTATATTAAAAGATGCTTTATCATTATCACATTGTATCTGTGAAAAACCCTCTGAGGAAGAGATAATTAGCCTTAGAAATAAATTTTAAATGATTGAACAGTAACGTTAGATTTTTTATTCTGATTCACTACACCTTAAAACCACCGGAATCTTTTCTAAGTGTGTCTCTTCCCACTCCCACTTTACTGGTATGTTTAGAATCCCATTTAGCGTCACTAAGAGTTAAAAACGTAGGTAAAACTCTCCCTAGCCTGACAATGTGTTTTCTTTAGAAAGACCCTCAAAAGATTCTGTAATCTCCCTTGATGGATATTAAGTGGATCACTGGTCAATTTATATCTGTTTTGTGAAGACATAGAAAGTTGATAAGGGGCATTCTATTTAATGATTAACTTGATGATTCCCTTATAAAACTGAGTATTTGTATGTCTCAACTATTTAAGGCAACGTTTTCCATAAAAGTGCATATAAAAATGAGGCAATTTGAAATTCAGGGCTTATATTTGTTTTTACAAAGTTGAGTAATAAGTTCTTTTTAGCTATTCTAACACACACTGATTGCTCCTTTTTCTTAACTCACATCGTTCTTACAAGAGCACTGTTCAGTTTAGCATTTAATGTTTCCTCACTTTGTAAAAATGTATTTGGGTGTCTTGGTTCCCTACCTCAGTGGAGATGACCATGTCACATATTTCTTTTAAGTTTAATAATGTGAGAAAAGAGAACTCAAATGGTACATTAAAAAAAATGTTTTCCCAGTTAATGTTGCGACATTTCCGGACTACTCTTCATGAATCCCTAATACATGGGCAGAATCTTCTTTTTCTTTTCTCACATGTCCGACTTTACTTTTACTTTGGAATTAGTGATCCTGTTACTTTAGAATTAGTCTGATCCATGATTTAAAGTTTGCTTATTAATTTACATAGAATGTTACTGATAACAACATTAGCTTAATTCAGTAATGATTATAGAGCTCCTGTTATATATGTGGCATCACACCTGGCATTGATGGTATGAAGATGAACTAGACATAGATCCCACTCTCAAGTAGCTTAAAAGATTTAAAAATACAAAATTGTTATAAGAAGCTTTAAAGAAATCTGGTTAAGATTCTTCTTGTATTGGCCTTTGTCACCTCCTGAGATGACCCACACTCCGTCTGGGGAGTGTGTTTCTCTCTGAATAAATCCGCTTCTTGCCTATCACTTTGTCTCTCACTGAATTCTTTCTGTGATGAGACATCAAGAACCTGAGCTTCATTAAGTCCTGACACCAGCTAGACCAACTCCCGCTCATCGTCAACACCATTGGGGACGCCTTCTGTGCTGTTTCTTAGCAACAGCTTTTTGGGCACTATCATCTGGTTGGGAGACTGCCTTGGAAGGGATAACATTTAAAATCGATCCAGGACTTCTACTCCTGAATACATACTTCAGAGAAACTGACACAGGAACACAAAGAGACAGAGACATCTGTGAAGGTATTCCCTGCAGCACAGTTTGCAATACCCCAGAAGTGGAAACAACTGTCTATCAAACAACAAATAGAGTACTATGATATTAGTTAAAAAAAAAAAAAATTCTTCTTGTGTAACATTTACTAACCTGTCATCTTCACCACTTTCTGTTTTATTATGTGAACATAAAAATAAGCTGTAAAATATGTATAATAAGATGGATGCATAGGAGCTTGTCCTAATTTTGCCATTTCCCTTGTTGTTGGTGGTAGACTCGTTACATTAGGATTGATGGAAGTGTCCCATCTTCAGAAAGAATACATCTGGTTAATCAGTTTCAAAAGGATCCTGAGACTCGTGTGGCTATTCTAAGCATTCAGGCTGCTGGTCAGGTAAGAAGTTTCAGGTCTAAATTTGATAATGAATTGTTGAGATGATAAAAATGTCAAGATGATTAACCATAACTATAACTTTATATCTGGTGTGATAAATATTCATTCTACTTTGGAGAGTGCTAGAAAGTGTAACAGAAGGAGACCTCAACACCTCTGACTAAGCTTCCTAAATTTTCAAGGAGACAATTTCCTAAAAGAATATAGCTAGTGTGATTATAATACTTTTCCATGATCTTTTCCTTCCTTTGAATTTGCGTAGACTTTTCTCATCCCTTTCTTTATAGCACTTATCTTTGGTTGTTTTCATCAGAGTCTGTGAGGCAAGGTGGCCTGAGGGAAAAGAACTCTTCTGTCTTTCTGAACTTTTCATAGAGTGCCCTTGGTTTGTCCTTTAGAGTTAGGTTTGGCTGTAAGTAAATGAAAACCCAAATTAAGAATGACTTAAATCACAAAGTTTTATTCTCTGATATAGGCAGTCTAAGGCTAGCATGGTAGTTTCTTAGCACTTAGGCCCCTTCTGGTTTTCTGCTTTACCACTCCTAGCAGATATCTCTTTTTTTTTTTAATTTAATTTAATTTTTTTTATACAGCAGGTTCTTATTTGTCATCCATTTTATACACATCAGTGTATACATAACAATCCCAATCGCCCAATTCATCACACCACCATCCCCACCCCCCGCGGCTTTCCCCCCTTGGTGTCCATACGTTTGTTCTCTACATGTGTGTCTCAATTTCTGCCCTGCAGACCGGTTCATCTGTACCAATTTTCTAGGTTCCACATACATGCGTTAATATACGATATTTGTTTTCCACTTTCTGACTTAACTTCACTCTCTGTGACAGTCTCTAGGTCCATCCACGTCTCTACAAATGACCCAATTTCATTCCTTTTTATGGCTGAGTAATATTCCATTGTATATATGTACCACACCTTCTTTATCCATTTGTCTGTCGATGGGCATTTAGGTTGTTTCCATCTAAGAGGGCTGCTAGAGCTTATCCATCACATCTGCGATCCAGGCAGTTGACTGGAGAAAGGCATGCTGTATCTCACTGGCCTGCAGTTAGTCCCAGGGCCACAACTAACTTCAAGGGAAGTTGGAGAAAGTAAGTGTTATTCCAATTAGTCATATTAAACATCAGGTGTCACATTACAAAGGAATAAGAAAAGAATAGATATTAGTCTCTGCCACCCTGTGTAAGAGGGGATCCTTCTGGATGTCTTTCCTACTAACATTCTAAAATATTTTGATGTAAACGTCTAAGCCAGGATATTTAACATAGGGAAAAGTAATTGAGCATATTGCTGTTAAATATCCAACCTGCTACATGGCATATCTGGCAGCTTCTGTGGATTCCGGAATCTGGACCAGGGCCAAAGTTCTCCTTTTACCCAGCTAACTGATGTATATAAAACTGTATATATAGTGAGAATCCATGAGGATGAAGAAGTTCTAGAACTAACTCACTAGGAGTTCTAGCCAAAAGGAGGGTTGTCTCAACACTTTCCTCATGTTGGATTAAATTTCCAGTAATCTAGTTTTATATCTGTTAGAATATTTCAGCCATAGAGAATATCATCAAAAAGAGCTTAAAAGTAGAAATGGAATACTGATAGCTCAGGAGAAGATAAGTAGGAGGAAGCTGGGCAGGAGAGTCTTGGAGTGGCCTGATAAAAGACTTTCTGAAATTAAGATTTTGCAAGGCACTCACATTTTATTCAAGGCTGTATTCCTGAAGACCTTGTATAGTTCAAAACTCATATACTTGAATACTAATATCTTCATAGCAATAAAGGAAGGTATTGTAGAAAGGGCTTTGTTTTGGAGGTTTGTGACTCTTCCATTGTAATTTAATAGCACCTTTTTTTTTTTTTTTTTTGGCCATGCAGCGCCACAGGTAGGATCTTAGTTCCCCGACCAGGGATCGAACCCATGCCCCTGCAGTGGAAGCACGGAATTTTAATCACTTACTGCCAGGGAAGCCCAATTTAGTATCATCTTTGTGTGACGTTGATCCTGCCAACGTCAACGTGGATTCTTGTATGGTCCTATGATACTTGTTACACACTTAAAGGTGTCCATCTTTAAATATCAATACTACTTAATTTTTCTGCATTATCTCTCAATGTGTGGCATTTTATATCCTAAACAGCAGCACAGTTTAGCATGGTGTGTATTTGACTCTCTCCATGTTTTTATTACTTCTAAGTTCAGCTTGAGAACTGGTGCCGCCATTTAATGAATGCTAGTATGATGGTATGTGATATAAAAATACTTCAAGTTAAAATAACAGCACAGCGGTCACAACAGTCACTTATAGAAGTTCCAGTACACGTGAACAACAGCATAGATTAGATTAGATGACACTTCAAAAGTATAGTAGGTATTTCTGCTGACCACCTAATATCACTTACCACTATGTAGCAATAGCGTAATTATGGTCCACATTTCGCTCGGCCTATCCACTTTAAAGTCATGCATTTTTTGACACATTTTTAGTTTGAGGAGATTTGCATTATTTCATATATTAATTGTAAAACAAGACTTAGTTAATATTTTTAATGTTACACTATTTCAAACTGATATAAAATGCAATTGCACAAAAATGCAGTTGTGTTTTATACATCAAGATACAAGTCAGTAAATTGCAGAGTCTTTGGGATGCAACATGAGAAATTCCATAGAAAGAAAAGAGTGTGACTGTAGACATGATTTTCTTGCTTTATAGAACAGCAGAATGAATTAAATGAATAGAGGATGTCATTGCTGTCATAGTTGCCATGGATACCATGTGTTAGAAATTATATTCTCATTTATAATATATTTTATTAGATTTTCCAGTGGTAATGTGAATCCAGTCTTCATCAGAGGTTCAAGTGATTTTATTTATATATGTATCCATTAAACTGACTTTTGAAATATTGAAGTACCTTTTAAATGTGTTCTTTGTAGTTCACCTGGCTATCTTGCAATAAGCAGTCTTCATTTGCCTTTCATGAATTAAATTTTCTTAATTTGGCTTAAAATGAAAGACTCATTTGTTTTTAAGTCCTTCAGTGTTCTCTTGTCCATTGAACATACTCAAAAGACTTTATTATATATGGCTCTATGCTAAATTCTCAGTTTATTTGCATCTCAGTTTCTTTATTTTGCTTAGGGTTTGACATTTACTGCTGCAAGTCAGGTTGTATTTGCTGAGTTGTATTGGGACCCTGGACACATAAAACAAGCAGAAGACCGTGCTCACCGGATTGGACAGTGCAGTTCTGTGAATATTCACTACCTTATTGCAAATGGGACTCTAGACACCCTTATGTGGGGAATGTTGAATCGCAAGGTAAAGCTTGAATTTAAACCAGGTTACCACTTACTCATTATTACCCATAGCCTGCATGAGTTAAGAGGCTGAGTTTTAGTGTTTTCAGGCAAAGGATATCGAAGTACACTAAGATATTGATGTTGATAGGGACCAAGTCCAGAAAAGGCTTCAATTGGTAGTACTCTACCTGCTATCCTCAGTAATGAGAGACAGACATGAATTTATGTGTGTTCCTATTGTCTTCCAAGCCCTTCTTCTACCATTTTAGCAGCTAGGGGAGGAAGAGCTAGTAAGGAACTAAAATGCTTTCAAACCCCTTAGCTTTTTGTGAGCGAAGAATAAACCCTTTTTCAACAGGATTCTTGAGTTCCGGGCTAAATTTTGGACAGAGGACAGCCTGTACCCGGATTCTAGCAAAGGTATTAGGGATGTTGCTTGCTCCGTCCACTCAGCTGTCTCTTCTCCCCAACCTTGAGGGATGTTTATAGAAAGGACTTGACTAAGGTCTAGAGGATGGCTTTCAAGCACTGAGTATAGATATTCAAAATGGCCAATCATATGTATGTTCAATTTCAAAGTTTATAAATATTAGAATAAAAGTTTTTATGAGAAAAGCAAATAGCATAGCTTCTCTAGTTAACCTTTTCCTCATTAAGCATAGGAATCATTGACTTGGCAATTTGGTTGTAATTATAAATAATTATATTACTAAAGCCCTTGATAAGTTGAAACAGTAAGATTTTCTTTATTGGATTGCTTGTGATTTAAATGCAAAATCAAGTTACTACTTAGTAAATGTCAGCTGTGAGGTGACCTGTTGTAAAATTCATATATTTTATCATCTTACAGGCTCAGGTTACAGGGAGCACACTGAATGGTAGGAAGGAAAAACTTAAGGCTGAGGAGGGTGATAAGGAAAAATGGGATTTCCTGCAGTTTGCTGAAGCTTGGACTCCAAATGAAAAGTCTGAAGAGCTCAGGAATGAAATGTTGTTCACTCATGTAAGATTATATGACATTCTTTTCAATTGTTTTTAATATATAACTTTATCATATATTGTTTTAAATAGCAATTTTCAATCGTTCATGCTATTGAAAAGCCTCCACATAAAGGTGGAAAAACTCTAAGAACTAAAAGATGACTTTGATTATAAGGAGGCTGCAACAGTGGCTTGTATCTTCCAACAGTTATAGATCAGTGCTTACTGTTCATGTCCTTAGAAAAACAAGCTAAGTAGAATCCAGCCTTAAGAAGAAAATATGGGAGACTATCTCTGTGACCCTGAGGGTAGGGAAAGATGTATTAAATTTGCCACAAAAAGTAACATACACAAGTCACATACTCAGTAAAGATATTTGCATTACAGTGTCCAAAGTATATAAAGAATTTATACAATTCAATTAGTAAAGCAAACAAGCCAACAGAAAAATAGGCAAACAATGTGAGCATCAGAGGAGACCAGAACAGAAAAAAACATGAAAAGAAACTAGCTTCACCAAAATAAGACAAATTCATAAAGGTACCCTTTTCTCTTTACAATCAGTATGTAATCTATGGTGTGATACTTTGAGATCACGTGACTATCCTGTTCCCCAAACTTTCACACAGTGGTTTTAGCATTCATTGATCTTTGCCTGAACCAGTTTTGAAATAGTATTTTTTCCAATTCCATCATTGCTTCTTTATTTATTAGCTGTTCTGTGAAGAAAAGCTTTTCATTTAAAAAAATATATCATTATGAACTTGGGGATTCTATTATTATTATTTAGTGTGTTATAATCTTTGCCTTTTTTTTTTTTAAAAGATCTGGTTAGTGGAAGCTCCTTTATTTTATTTTATGTTTTGGTTTGGTTTTTTTTGTTGTTGTTTTTGGGGTTTTTCTATTGAAGTATAGTTGATTTACAATATTGTGTTTCAGGTCTAAAGCAAAGTGATTCAGCTATATATATATATATATTCAGATTATTTTCCATTATAGGATCTTACAAGATATTGAATATAGTTCCCTGTGTTATACAGTAGGATCTTGTTGTTTATCTATTTTATGTATAGTAGTTTGTATCTGTTAATCCCATACTCCTAATTTATCCCTCCCCTCCCTCCCTTTCCCCTTTGATATTCATAACTTTGTTTTCTATCTGTGAGTCTGTTTCTGTTTTACAAATAAGTTCAATTGTATTATATTTTAAATTCTACATATAAGTGATAATCATATGATACTTGTCTTTCTCTGACTTACTTCACTTAGTATGATAATCTCTAGGTTTATCCATGTTGCTGCAAATGGCATTATTTCATTCTTTTATGGCTGAGTAGTATTCCACTGTGTGTGTTTGTGTGTGTGTGTGTATGCCACAATTTCATCTGTCAGTGGGTATTTAGGTTGCTTCCATGTCTTGGCTATTGTAAGTAGTGCTGCAGTGAACATTGGGGTGCATGTATCTTTTTGAATTAGAGTCTTCTCCAGATATATACCCAGGAGTGGGATTGCTGGATCATATGACAACTCTATTTTTAGTTTTTTGAGGAACCTCCATACTGTTTTCCATAGTGGCTGCACCAATTTACACTCCCGCCAACAGTATAGGAGGGTTCCCTTTTCTCCACACCCACTCCAGCATTATTTGTGTGTGTGTATATATATGTATTATTTGTGTGACATATATATATACCACATATAAGTGATATCATATGATATTTGTCTCTCTCTATCTGACTTACTTCACTTACTATGATAATCTCTGGATCCATCCATGTTGCTAAAACTGGCATTATTTCATTCTTTTTTTCATTTTTAATATGGCTGAGTGATATTCCATTGTATATTTATACCACATCTTCTTAAACATGGGCATTTGGATTGCTTCTGTGTCTTGGCTCTTATAAATAGTGCTTCTATGAACATTGGAGTACATTATCTTTTCCAATTAGAGTTTTCGTCTTTTCCAGATATATGCCTGGGAGTGGGATTGCAGGATTTCTTATTTGTTGACTTTTTAATGATGGTCATTCTCACTGGTGTGAGGTGGTACCTCATTCCTACAACCAAACAATTCCATTGCTAGGGATATATTCTCCTGCGTGTGTATAAGGGTACATGTATAAGGATGTGTACCAAGTCATTTTTTAGAATGCAGAAAATTGGAAACAACCAAAATGCCTTTCAGTAGGAGAATGGCTACATAAATTGTCATAAGATACTACTTAGAAGTTAACATGAATGAATTAGGTTTATATGCATTAACATGATCAGATTTTGGAAACATAATGTTAGTTTTTTAAATGCAGAGCATACACACAAATATTATGTATTCATGAATACATATATATGTAATAATATATATAAACAAAGATTGGAAGAATACATAATAAATTTATTGCCTCTGGAAGAGGAGGAGAATGGGTCTGAGGAAGACTAAAAATGTGGTAGCAGCTTTATCAGAAATATTTTATTTCTTTCATTTTAAAAAAGTATCAGAAGTAACTATTACAATATTAGTACTTATAAATTTTGAATGGTGGGTATATGGATATTTGTTATATTCTCTGTACAGTAACAGATGCTTTTTGGAGGCCATATATAAACTGAATAAGAAATAATAGAGAAGCTTATAGTCATTCAAACTGTCTGCTTTTTTTCCTAGCCCTTCTGGAGCAATATAGTGTGAGAGTTATGGGGAGTTTAATTTTAATTTTTGAAAAAATGGATCAGATATTATAGGAATGAAATTGAAGTCTGTACACATTTTCTCATAATGCAAAATTAAAATTTTAATGTCAAGTTTAGTTCCATAAAAACATGTTTTTTATGTGGAATCTTACTAAGTTTCTTATGTATCCTATTTGGAGGGCTAGTATATTTTTCTTTTCTAGAACACTAGAATGCCATTCTGTCAAATTTGCTAAAAAAATAGAAGAATTATTTCTAAGACATTTTTCTTTTATTTTAAAAACTTTTCTTTTAGTAGTGCTTATTATATTATATTTTGGTCTATAAAAATCAATAGATATCATAGGTGTATAAAAAATATAACTAAAACCATGACTTGTAGCTGTTCTTTCTCTAAAATTCCCTGTTGAACTATGTCTGAGTTAGTTTCTAAGATAAATATTAAGAACTTGAAACACATCTTCCCACATTTATACATGTTTATTGTTTTTAAGTGTCTCTGAAGAAAAATGTATATCTGTGTACAAAGTTTAAAAAAAAAATTGCCTAGTCATCCTTACCAAATCTTGCTTTCCTGAATTCGGTGTTTATCTTTCATAGTTCAGTGTTACCTTGCACAGATTTCTCAATGCATGTCTTTTACACAGATGGTTTTATATAAACTGGAATCTTGTAATGTGGAGACCATTTGTTCAGTTTGCTTTGTTTTGCTTTGTATTTGTTTTTGTTTCTTTGTTTGTTGGCCAGGATGTGAAGTGTGTTTTAAAGGACCTTAGGTGAGGTTGCTGCTCATCGGTTTTTGTCTTTATACCCTCCAGCTTCATGCATCTTAAGAAATGTTCAATTTGTTGAGAGGTCCTAAGGAAATTTAACCAACATGTTTCTCTTCTGAATGTTGCCAGAATTTCAGCATTTCCTATGGGAAGTTTTCTATCTATAATGATGTCTTTCAGATCCTTTTTTAAAGCCTTTAAAAAAAATTGCCTACATTTAGCATTTTTAGGATACTTCCAATTTTGCCGATTAAACTTTGCCAAATTAACTAATTTTGCCCATTGTCATCAAAAACTTGTTTAACTAAAATGTTGATAACAGTTCTAACTGGATGGTTTTTAACAGCTTATGAATATTTCTGTAGTGTCAGCATTTTAAGGAACGTTCATTTTATCTCTGTCCCGGCATCTGGCTGCTGCAGCTGGAGGTTAGAGCTGGGGCAAAGAAGAGGGACCTTCCAAGGCCAGAGGAACAGACTATGTGTTAGTCAGTGCATGGCTCAGCCCAGGCCGTCAGCTCTAGAGAAAGAAAGACCAGGAGGCTCAAACAGGAGGAGACCGGGGTGCGGAGAGTGAGTCTGCAGGGCAGGGAGAGGATGAACTGAGGCAGAAAGAGTCAGGAGACTCCAGGTCCGTGGGTCCCTAGTTCCCCATAGTCTTCTTAACCCTCCCAGTATCATCACATTCAAAATGCTGTGGACTCCATAAATGATTTTTTAGAAGGCCAATAAATGTGGTAAATTTGGCAAGTTGGTCTTCACTGAATTGGGTTTCAGGTGGATTGACTTTCAGCATATGGGCTTTTGGCAAATTGTTTTCTGTGAATTAACCTAGAGCTAATATTAGTATGATTATGGGTCCTGGGGACAGAGAGACCTCTGGTTAGGAAGAAGAGAAGGCGGATGAGAGAATATTTTCCTGAAAAAAATTTTTATATTAGTTTTGCTCTTCTCTGCCTTCTTTCTCCCCTGGGGATCATTCAGAGCGGCATTATTTTTGTCTCCCTCCTCTCCTAATCAGAATTCTCTGTCTGTCACATAACTCAGCTAATTTATCGGGATTAAAAAATGTATGGAACTGGGGCTAGTACTCTACCAGTATATATGGATATAGGTGTACTGGCTGTTAAATGTTAAGTATTTTGGTAACGGTCCATAGCCACTTCTTCAGTCCCTTCACTGTACTCCCTCACCCCACCGCTAGGGCCTCCTGGACCTCGTCGTTATGCTGCACAGCATGGGCCTCTAGGAGTCTGGTTCATACCCCTGCTGTAGCTGTTGCTAAGTATTTAAATAACACCCTGCATGGAATTAATCCACACAAATGTATGAGTCACAATTCTTTACCGATCCTAGATATATTTACATTTTTAAAGCAGTTATTTATTAACCCAGATGAAGCTCAAATTGAAGTCCAACTCAAATGAAAAGAAATAATTCCACCACCACAAGGAAAGCCTAGGTGGCTATCCCTTCAGTAACCAGTCCCGCCTGGGAGTCCATCACCAGGGTGACTGTCTCAGATGCAATCCACTTTCTCAAGCTTCTTCCTTTATTCT